GTGAAAAAATGAACGAAACAATTATTTCTTGTACTTGTTTCATAGCAAATGACGCCTTCTTTACATTTTATACTCAAAGCAATGGAATCTTTCGGTTTTAAAAAAGTCACTAATTATGAGCATTTTTAAAATTGTGAGGTGTTTATGCATAATACATCGTACCCGTCAACTAATTAATGCTACCTATACCGCATAAAACATGTTCCACATCTATTGCAATATTTTATGAAAACTATGTGACTTCTTTCTCAAACTGTAGGCAAAAACGTGCTTTTCCTTAAACAGGATGTAGACAGTGTGCAGCTTTTAAACCTTGCATTCGAGTGTAGTAGTCAGTAGGTTAGAAAATAATTCGGCAATTGAGAAACTTTTTTAAAACCGAAAGCTACCCTTTCTTTTAATATAAAATGTAAAAAAGGCTTCAGAGTAGACTACACAACTTGAGTCAATGCCGATTAACGAAAGAGTATCAACCTTTGGCTTAGGTCGACATGCTGCGTGATTTTCGGAGACACTATACATAAATGCGAAGGTTCTTTGGTCCGTTTTTTTGACTTTATTTTCCTAAGGAAACTTGCCACCTTGTGTGGCGAACATCTTACTATTTATGTGGTGAGTTTAAACGGGTAAACCTGCGTCCCCTTACACTGTTAGATTTTGATGGTCTTGTTTTCTTTAATACCCGTGCTGACGCTCCTCGTAATCACAGTCTGGTCAAATTCCCTGAGCTCTTTGTTGTCAAAAAACATAACTATGTTGTTAGGTCAGGGCCATTTTGTGTTAATAGGCCTCTGAACCATCTATTTTAGTTCTAGGCCTGCGCTGTTAAAAACCCAAAAGAAAACTGAAGGTCCGCGACACGTCTCTGCAAAACAGTTGCTTGCTCCAGACTTGTTTTTCTTAAAATATCCCCACCTTCCTCGAACACTCGAACGTCGAATCGCTCTCTAGATACTATGTAAAATTTTTAATGAAAGTTTTTATATCTGCTGTCCTCTTGATACCACTACGGTCAGACGTGGCGGAATTTTTTCTACCTATCTAAAATCTTTAAGAAGCAAAAAGAACTCGTTTACAAATTATTTTAACGTGGCAGACTAAAGGACATGAAATTCCTTCAAAAGGGAGTGTTGCAGATTGAAAAACCTGTTTGGTAGTCAGCTATTTACTCCTTATTATACATCTTACTGTTCTCTCACCTCGGCTGAACACACTGGCATATTTAGATGTTGACTTAGGCTGTTTAAATGCAAATTTTATCTAAACGCCCACTGACTCCTATCTTCCGTCGAACGACATTTCCTTATAACCAAATGTCTTTGTTATTCATATCTGTGGTAACACTGTTGAACCATCTTAAAATGGTTCGAGATTTAACAGCTGTCGGGCCAGATAGTGTCTCACTACTTCTCCTAAAATCTTGCTGTTTTCAATTAGCTCTTGCCTTGAAACATTTTATAAACTTGTCCTTCATGGCTTCCATGATTCCGGATGATCGACGTTCAATAATAAGCTCTCCATCCTCTGCAATACCTCTTATTGTGGTCTCAATTCATCTCGTCCAACTGTCTGCTCTTTCATGCTACTAAAAATTGCGGAACGAGATGTCTTAGGCATAATCACGTCGTTCACCTCTAATTTTTCTAATCTAATGCAACTTGTATATAAGGTGTCGTACCTAAGACGCTGTTGTTTTCGTGGTCCGTTGTGCCCTAAGTGATTTATATAAGGGTCGCTGTGCATACGTATGTGCATGTCTTGACTACTCCTCGGTCTTTAATACTTTTTCACTCCATCTTCTTAAAACAACTTCTGCATGTGGCACTCCCAGCCGGGCTGTATCTTGGCTTGGCGGCCAGTTCACTTGTCGCACTCAATTCTTCCAATGCGGCAAGCGAAAATCCACGGCCCTTCCCAATAACTGTAGAGTTCTTCAAATGTCTATTTCATCCCCTTACCTCTTCTACCTCCACACTTACGACCTACGATTGTCATATGGATACTTGCATAGGGGCGGAAAAACGTTGTTTGGGACCAGTATTTTATTTGCCCGATGCGAGCTCATTATCAAGGCATAAAAAATGCACAGCTCACTGTGTTTTTAGCTCAGCTTTTCCGGGAATGACCTTGAGCTCTGTTATCGATTTGTTCGCGCAACGCGAGGTAGGCATCAGGAAGATCGATATGCTTATTAATAGAATCCGCGTACGAGTGCCATGCTTCCTGCGGCAGGCGTAAGATTCGGTCGCCCGACTGACCTAGTATTCGCACGTGCTCGAAGTCGAAGCCGCGCCCTGGCGTGGATGCATGAGTAGCTACCTAAGAAGGTTTTTCATTCCGTCGCACGGCGAGTTCGTGCTCGTGCAGTCTCTTGAGAACCCGTTTGTCGGTTTTACCAAAAAGACAGTCGAAGCGGTAAATGACACCGGATGTTTGGTTAACGGGTATTGTGTCCTTAGGCTGCATGAGTTGCCTGCGTATTGTCGCTTCCGGTCTGTGAGAGACGCCAATCCCAAATTCACTGACCACAAGAGTGAATTCTTTGGAAACGCCAGCAATATAGGTATGGTTGTCGGCCATCCTCTCAAAGAGTAGACCCATCTCTAGGTGTCCAAAGATGGACTGGACCGCGGGTCAGCATAGTCTTTAACCAACGGCGTTCTACGGAATAATCAGGAGACTGTCCAGTGCGTTTGCCAATTGCGATCCTCTGCGAGTTCTGAGTCCTAAGATATCCTGCCCAACGAGGTATCCGCTTTCTGTTAACTTGGTGCTTATCTGACATTTAATCTTTCATTTCCTCTGTATATCGAAGCCATTTTCACTAAATTTCCTGAACTCCTTTATTGTATCCGTCGGTTACTTTCTCCTGTACTATGCGGCGAGGCTTCCAAAATATGTCCTGCCATGCATCGGCATACCGTCATTCTCTACTTCCATTCCCAGCACGTTACACCACGCGTAAAGAACGGAAATCCAGAAGCTGAGATCGGACCCGTCTCCATAACAGATGAGTATTTTATGTAAACCTCTATACTTTAGTGTATTCTTTTAGTGTGTCATGTGATCTCAGTGAATGAAACCACTTTTTTATGAAAGGGTTTGATGCGACTATCAAAGTAGGGCGTATTTCTCGCATTCCTTTCTTTCGATAGTGGGGATTTGGCTGACCAACACTTGGTGGATAGGAACGAGTTTGACGAACGGTTTGAGTTCCCCCTCTTCACAACCATGTTGCGCGCGGCCATTCTACCAACTGTCGGCGTGGTCGACAAACGGAAGACGCAACTCTACTCCAGGCAGTGATAATACAGTAGATCTGCTTAATTGCGAAACCTCATGAATTTCACGGAAAAAATGCCTTCCTGCGCAAAATGAGCCCATACTGCTTCCGCCAAAGTATGACAGTAGGAAAGAAACAAACGTGGAATAGCACCCACTAGACCGGTGTATTTACCGAGACAGTCAGCACAAGGGATGAGATTGAGGTAGGGCTTTTTATCTCAGCTGGGCCTATTCTGTTTCTGACGTGCCTGAACTGACTGAGCACTTGGGCCCCCCGTCGGTGAGTGACGTCTCAAAGTATACGCTCTTCGGCCCCGGGACATATCTCTTGTAAAATATAAAGCATTTTTTTTCAGGTATACATTTAAAGCAGGCCAAAACAGCAGAATTTATTTACGCAGACAAATTTCGAGAGAGCTTATCAACTGCGTCCTCTCTGTGCCTTGCCTTTGCACGCCACCTCAAACTGCGTCTATGAATTTACCTGCATTTGCGGATACAAGTACATTGGCCGTACGCAAAGGCAATTGGCGACCAGGGCTGCTGAAAATTTGCATGCTTGGCTTTTAAAACAAGAAAACAAAGTACCACGGTCATCTATTATAAAACACTTACTAGGCAGTGGTCATTCCGTTGATACCAACACATCCTTCCGCGTTCTTGTTCGAGCACGAATAAACCCGACTTTACGTTACATGGAAGCATCCTACATACGGCAGGAGAAACCCGACCTATGTAAGCAACTAGGCAATGTAGTTAATCTTCCATTGCCCTGGTAAATACATGCAACACTTTTATTTTTGTTAATTCCCCTCCCTACTTTTCGTCCCAAGTTTAAAGTTGACATAACTATTGACCATTTGCCACGTTAGCATGACCTTGCTGTTTTCGATTTTGTGAAAATTCAAAATGATGTGTTCTCTAATTGTTTCGTTATTCATGCACAGAGAGGACGCAGTTGATAAGCTCTCTCGAAATTTGTTTGCGCAAATTAATTCTGCTGTTTTGGCCTACTTCAAATTTATGCCTCTTGTAGGTTGGGGTCTGCCGAAACCCACATTCGGATCCCTCACCTTCATCCGTTGTCTCATTTCGGCGGAAGCACCTGATAAAAAAAAACAGGGGGCGGCGGTGAGAGGCAGCCATTCCTTCTGGAGTTATCTCATAGGTGGCGGGCTTTATTGCGTCGTCCCTATAGCAGCAGTTTGTCTGTAATGAACGTTCTTCTTCGTGCATACTACAGTTCGACCGTCGGTCTCGACGATAACCACTACAGGCATCAGCAAGCTGAAGGCAGGCGCGATGACTCCCGCGAGATTATGGTGAAAGTAGACTTGTGGCAAACCAACCCCACTCTCTTACCACTCCCACATAGGGGCCCGGTTGTCCAGACAAAAGTCAAGATGACCGGAGATGAGGGAGGGCGCAGGCATCTGGCGCGACGAACACTCAACACACTTACCAACCTCACACCTCGCTAGGTAGGTTACCACCTGGGAGTGCCATAAAGGCCACATTAAGAAGGAGCCAATAAGCCTGACACTCAGCTCACAGTTAGCCACTCCGACAGTTCCCCCGTCGATTTCGACGATGGGCACCACGCGCTCCAA